TTTAAAAAAAAAAAAAAAAAAAAAAAGGTCTGGTCAAGGTAGCTCACACCTGTAATCTCAACACTTTGGGAGGCTGAGGCAGGTGGATCACTTGAGGCCAGGAGTTTGAGACCAACCTGGCCAACATGGTGAAGCCCCATCTCTACTAAAAATACAAAAATTCTCCAGGTGCATGGTGGTGCACGCCTCTAGTCCTGGCTACTCAGGGGGCTGAAGCAGGAGGATCACTTGAACCTGGGAGACAGAGGCTGCAGTGAGCCGAGATCAGGCCACTGCACTCCAGTCTGTGTGACAGAGCGAGACTCTCTCAAAAAACAGTAACAACAAAAAAGCTGTAACCTCAAATAGGTGGTTTCTTTTATCTACCAATTTGTCCAAGCCACGTGGGTAAGGCAGTGGTGACAGCTGGCTCTGTGAATCTTTGGGGTACAGCAAAGGGGGTCTGGATGCTGGGATGGGCGGGGCTTTTGCGTCCAGCCGGCATTCAGGAGGGAGTGGGCGCCTTTCCCTTCCCATGACCTCCACCTGTTGGGGCTGGTGCCCTCAAGTAGATGCCCCGCCCACCACCACTGTGCCCCCCTCACCCTCCAGCCGGCAGCCAGCCAGCCCCCTGACCCCTGACCCCTGTCTCCCTTTCTCCCCGCAGCTGACCACAGTGGCCGAGAAGTCCCGGGTGCTGCAGCTGGAGGAGGAGCTCACCCTGCGACGCGGTGAGATCGAGGAGCTGCAGCAGTGCCTGCTGCACTCGGGACCCCCGCCCCCGGACCACCCCGACGCCGCCGAGACCCTGCGGCTGCGGGAGCGCCTGCTGTCGGCCAGCAAGGAGCACCAGAGGGAGAGCGGGGTGCTGCGGGATAAATACGAGAAGGCCCTGAAGGCCTACCAGGCGGAGGTGGACAAGCTCCGTGCGGCCAACGAGAAGTACGCGCAGGAGGTGGCGGGCCTGAAGGACAAGGTTCAGCAGGCCACCAGCGAGAACATGGGGCTCATGGACAACTGGAAATCCAAGCTGGACTCGCTGGCCTCGGACCACCAGAAGTCCCTGGAGGACCTCAAGGCCACCCTGAACTCGGGCCCAGGCGCCCAGCAGAAGGAGATCGGCGAGCTGAAGGCGGTGATGGAGGGCATCAAGATGGAGCACCAGCTGGAGCTGGGTAACCTGCAGGCCAAGCATGACCTGGAGACCGCCGTGCACGTGAAGGAGAAGGAGGCCCTGCGGGAGAAGCTGCAGGAGGCCCAGGAGGAGCTGGCCGGGCTGCAGCGGCACTGGCGGGCCCAGCTGGAGGTGCAAGCCAGCCAGCACCGGCTGGAGCTGCAGGAGGCCCAGGACCAGCGCCGGGACGCCGAGCTGCGCGTGCACGAGCTGGAAAAGCTGGACGTGGAGTACCGGGGCCAGGCGCAGGCCATCGAGTTCCTCAAGGAGCAGATCTCGCTGGCCGAGAAGAAGATGCTGGACTACGAGCGGCTGCAGCGGGCCGAAGCCCAGAGCAAACAGGAGGCTGAGAGGTTGCGGGAGAAGCTCCTGGTGGCCGAGAACAGACTC